CTCTCCCTTCTGGTTCTGAAAAGATTCTTTTTTTTCCTACTTTGACTCTCAAGTTACCCCACCACCACCCCATTCCCTATCATAGTCCCTATGTCCTCACCCAGAATTGCTCCACCAAAGAGGCTTCTGTCCTCTCCTCTCCATAGCACAGTGCTCTTGAAAGCTATTGGGGAACTCCTTCTCCTCAAAGCTGATATCCTCTTCTGAGTCATGTTACTTAATTTTGCTGTAGAATCTGATACTGTTGATCATCCTCTCTCCTAGACACTCTTTTCTCCCTTCACCATCACAGCGGTCAATGGAAGCGAACTGCATTAACTAGAAAGCTGATGGGAGCTGAAAGGAATCCAGGCTCTGACACAGAATCAGCTGTGCAATCCTGAACAAGTTCTTTAACCTCTCTGAGCCTCAGTACCCTCATCTTCAAATAGACTCTAATTTTTCCCTTGGTGAGGTTGCATTAAGTGCTTTTGATTGAAAAAATACTTTCAAGTTAACTGTGCAGCATTGCAGATAAGAACCAGATCCTGGCAGGGTCCACCGCTCAGCACCCACACAGCAGTATAACCTTGGGCTAATTGCTTAACCACTCCAAGCTTCAGTTTTCTTCTCTGTGAAATAGAGAATATGAGACAATCTACCTCAAAGGTTGTCGTAAAAATTAAATGAGACCACCTGCAAAGCATTCAATATAGCATCTGACATACTGCATCCCTTAATATATGTAAGCTTTTGTTATCTCATGCAGAAAAACAAGATGTGTGGGGAGGTGGAGTTATTGGAAGGAAACAGATCTCTCCCAAATTTGAAGAAAGTGTTAAACAACCACACCTGGAGAAGGACAGCTCCAGCAACCTCACCAGAGGGAATGCTTGTCCCACTAAAGCTCTGTTCTTTCCTTGTCATGACTTACTTGAACTGAGGCTGCTAATAAAAATGGTCAGTCTCACCGAAACCGGTTTGGCTCAGTGGATAGAGCGTCAGCCTGCAGACTGAAAGGTCCACAGCATCTTCCTCTGTAAAATGACTGTTTCCTCATCACCACTGCCCTAGTCAGTTTGGCTCAGTGGATTGAACATCAGCCTGTGGACTGAAGGGTCCCAGGTTCAGTTCTGGTCAAGAGCACATGCCCAGGTGGCTGGCTCAATCCCCAGTGTGGGGCGTGCAGGAGGGAACTGATCAGTGATTCTCTCTTATCATTGATGTTTCTTTCTCCCTCTCCTTCTCCTTTCTTCTCTGAAATCAATAAAAACATATTTTTAAAAAAGGTCCCCTTAATTTAGTTCTTGTATTCTATAATCCTATTAACTATTCCTCAGTCATGCCTCCAGTTTTCCCAATTCTTTGCCTTTCTTCATACTGTTTTCTTTGCCTGAAAAACCTTCCCTATCCTATATCATTGCCTTCATTTAATTAACATGTATTGAGTGTCCACTGTTTCAATAGATAGCTCTTGGGCCAAGTACTCCCCTCTCCAACTGGAATGGGTCCCTCCAGCCATGTCTATATGACACGATCCTGCCTTCTTGGCCATAGATTATTCAATCCAGGATGAACACTGATGTTAACTGGCTTACTCACATTCTCTCTGCCAGGAACTTGGAATTTGAAACTGAGAGACACAGAGCCCGGGTTCCATTAATGTCAGCATTTTCGAGAGGGCCATCCATCAACTCCCTCTCAGAAGTCCCTGGAGATCCCCTGATTCCTACTCTTTCCAGCCTGGCTGCTCAGCAATTCCTTGGAGTCCATAGGATATCTTGGCAGCCTTCCAATATAAGTTCCTTTTTTTCCCTTTTGGCCAATGTCCTTTTCTTATACTTTCATCCAAATAACATTTGCCAATACAACTAGTGTTTGAAATACTATTAGGCTCTGCTGGCACAAAAATCAACTAAAATATTATCTCTGCCCTGCAGCGAAATCTATTTGAAATCCTACCCAGATTTAGAATCACAACTTAATAGCCCCCTTCCTCCATTAAGTTTTCCCATATTCCCCAAGCGGGATTAATCCCTCTCCAGTGCATTACCATTGCATTTTGCTTTAACTCTCTCACAGTCACCTGTTTGAGCTATTTTGAACATCTGTCTATCCCACTAATTGCAAATCCATTAAACTCAAGACCTAGATTTGTTGACTGTTTAGTCTCTTGGCTCCTAGCACAGAATCACAAACAGACCATTTGGAAAGAACATCTGTTGTTTTGTCTGTCCATCATCCTCTCCCCTTTCTATTGATAACAGCAACCCAGTGTTCCTTTGCAAAATCAGCCTTTCTTCTTGCTCAATCCATTACTTCAGATGGGTTCTAAAAGTAATACATGATCTAGGTTTGGTCAGAGTCATGGTGATTTGAATATGTGACCTATCAGGGCCAATGGGCATTATATCTGAGATTCTGGTGGGAAAGTTTTGGGAAGAAACCCTCTTAAGCTGGGTTTGTTTAGCTGTTAAACCATAAGCCTGCAGCTACTGATGGTCATCTTTGCCAACACATAAGAAAAGTATAATTATTAATGAAACAAACACAGTGGAAAAGAGAAGATAGGAAGAGAGATAAATTTCTAATGATTTTACATTAGAACTTGCATCCAGACTCTCTTGGACCTATTATTGGGAACATGTAATTTTATTGGTTTCAGAGAGAGGATGGGAGAACGAGAGAGAGAAAGAAACATCAACTGGCACTAGGCTCAACTGGCTGCCTGTTACACACCCTACTGAGAATAAAGCTTGCAACCTGGGCATGTGCCCTGACTGGGAATCAAACTGTCAGCCTCCTGGTTCATGGGACGATGCTCAACCAACTGAGCCACACCAGCTGAGCTGGGAAATTTTTCACTTATATTAATTCCCTGTCTGTTTCCAGTTTTGGTTGTGTGTTTTTTTGTGTTTTGTTTCTGATAAAGCCAGTTTGAGATGAGTTTAAGACCCTTGCAATGGAAACAGTCTTGTAATTCATTCATTCATTCATTTTACAAATGTTTATTGACATAAAGTTCTATGGGAGCCCTGAGAAGGAAGTGATTAGGATGAGTGGGATGGAGGTGAGAAAGAGGTTGGTTTAAGAGGAGAGGTGGAAAGGGGGAGGCAATTCCAGAGAAAGCGAACAGCCTGAACAAAGACCCATAGGCCTTAAAGTTTGTGACCCATTTTGGGCCACCAGGCTCCTAAAGAGCATGTTAAGAACAGTAAGAACTAGATCAAGGACAAGACTATTAAGGGAACTTGTGAGCCATGCTAAGGAGTTAACCTTTTGGTCAAAGGAAGGCATTTAAACTGTAAAGTATGTTTTATATACTAGAGTATCCTATATAATAAAAGCCTAATATGCTAAGTGTCTTGTTGTCCATTCAACCAATCAAAGCATAATATGCTAATGATATGCTAAAGCCACTCAACTGCTCATTATGACGTGCAATGGTAGATTAGCTTGCTGCTGGGGTCCGGCAAGTCAGGACTGAGTGAGACCGGCTGGACATACCCTGGAGCCTTCCTGTGGTTTCTCCCTGGCTGGTCAACCTCCAGCAACCCTCCCCAACTCTGATTGTGCAGTATCAGTTTTTGTTTCTCTTGGTAGGAAACCAATCTTTCTGAGGGAATTAGAATTCTGGACTCAGGGGTTAAGGGCCATGGATTTGAAAGAGAAAGAATGGCTGGGGTGGGGCGGTGCGGGCAGTTAGAGATCAACCAAAGAACTTGTATGCATGCACATTAGCATAACCAATGGACACAGACCATGGGAGGGTGGAGGCTTGCCCTCGGGGGTGGGAGTGGCAGGAAGCAAAAGGGGGAAAGGAGACATATGTAATACTTTAAACAATTAAAAAAAAAAAAAGAATGTCTCATTAGGAATGATTCTGCTTGTTTGAAGTAGTGGCAGGAAGCTGAGAAAGAACTTTAGAAACAACATTTATTAGGGATATTCCTTCCCAAGTGATTCTAATGCCAACAGAACCCACATGATGATTTGACCCATAACCTGTGGGAAGGTGGGGCAGGCTGCTCACAGGGAAGAGAGGATGCACAGACAACAAAATGGGTGCTCATTCCAGGGTCATGGGAAGAATTAGCTATGCTGTGTGGCTATGACTGGCATATAACATGCACTGGAATCCTTTTTCTTCTTTTCCTTTTTTGAAATACATACACACACACACACACACACACACACACACACACACTAGAGGCCGGGTGCACGAAATTAGTACACTCAGGTGGGGGTGGGACGTCCTCCAGCCCAGACTGTGCCATCTTGCAATCCAGGAGCCCTTGGGGGGATATCCAACTAACGGCTTAGTGGGGAGTGAGCCTGAGCCATCAGTCAGGCATTCTTAGTGCTTGTGCTCAGGGCTTCTGACTGAGCTGTGCTTCCCCTGTGGGAGCTCACTGATCACAAGGGGGAAGCTCCTGCATTGAGTATCTGTCCCCTGGTAGTGGTCTATTTGCATATGACCCTTTTATTATATAGAATATTTAATATATTTTTTTTTGATTTCAGAGAGGAAGGAAGAGGGCAAGAGATAGAAACATCAATGATGAGAATCAATTGATCAGCTGCCTCCTGCACACACACACACACACACACACACACACACACACACACATACACCTAACCATCACCACCACCACCACCACCATCACCACCGGGGATGGAGACTGCAACCCAGGCATGCTCTGACCAGGAACCTCCTGCTTCATGGGTTGATGCTCAACCACTGAGCCGCACCGACCCGGCTGGGATCCTTTCTTTATGACATTCATTCAGTCCTCTGCTTCGGGGCTTCTGTTTCTCCCCTCGCTGAAACTGCCTCCTCTAGGCCTATGATTCTGAAGTGTGTATTTGAGGGAAGCTCAGGCTAACTGGGCATGCCTGGAGGGCTAGTGCTGGACAGCTGGAAAGTGGATCCAGGCTGCAAAGGGTTACAGACTATAACAGTTAGACTGTGGAGCTAGGATGCCTGGCTTCCAATTCCAGCTCCACCACTTACCAGTTATATGACCTTAGGCAAATCACTCCATTACTTCATTTCTAAAATGGGGGCCATAATAATGCCCCCCACACACACCTCAGGCAAGTCAGGCAAGTTTAAACCAACAGTCTTCTCTTTTTCCCTCTCTCCTTCCCTCCATCACTCCATTCATTCATGGTTCCCTCCTGTCCTGGGTGACTCCTTCTATAGAACTGCCTTTGGAGGATACAGTCCCACACAGATCCTTTTAGAAAAGCAGGTTTATTGGTCGGGCTGCTCACCAGGACACAGCAACATGAGAGACTCCGAGAGCCAGCAGGAAACTGCGTCTGCCCACAGCTCAGGCCCCTTCAGCCCATCAGCACCTGGGGACCGTGTCCCCATCCCCATCCTCCCTCAGCTGACCTGGCTCCAAGCATTCCGGAGAGAAGGGGTCCAAGAAAAGGGGAGGGGGAAGCAAAGCTTTGTATTGTAAAAAAAGGTTTATCCCCGGCTCCCTCCCTCCCTCCACCCCTTAAAGCAATTAGCTGCAATTCTAAAAAGCTGAGCAGGGAAGATAAGGCCAAGAAGAGAAATCCTTCAGCCTCTTCTTTTGTAATCCTCACCTGAGGATATTTTCCCACTGATTTTTAGAGAAGAGTGGAAGAGAGAGGGAAGGACAGAGGAGAACATCCAAGTGAGAGAAACACATTGATTGGTTGCCTCCTGCACAAGCCCGGACCAGGGACCCGGCTGGGGAGGAACCTGCAACCGAGGTACATGCCCTTGACCAAAATCGAACCCGGGACCCTTCAGTCCGCAGGCCAGTGCTCTCTCTATGCGCTGAGCCAAACCGGCCAGGGCTTTCAGCCTCTTCTTACGGGAACTTGTGAGCCATGTGACTTGCAGGGGAGGGAAGTTGTCCTTGTGTCTGACAACCCCCTTTACTGGGACTTGAGTATCCTCAGGAGAACCTAGAAGCAACCACCCTTTCAGCCCCAAAGATTCAGGAGAGGAACCCCAAAGGGCAGGGAGGTCTTGGTGAGTCCTGCAGCTCTTATACTAGTTCTAGGGAAGGATCTTGGGAAGAATCAGGCAAGGCTGGGTTGCTCCAAACAGTCATGATACTCTCACTTCCCCTCCAGCTCTGTTTGGTGGCCTGGCCACTAGCACTCTGCTCCCTTTCTATTCTGCCTCACCCCCCTACTCCCCATCCCATAACTCCCAGCTCCCCACAGCCTGATGCTGTCCTTCTGGGACCCTAATTTTCTGGGCTTTGACAAATGGACTGTTCCTGGGGTACCACCCAGATCTCGGATGAGTTATGAGGTGAGGCTTACTTCTCTTTTCTATTTGGATCATCGCTTTCTAACCATCCCTCCTTATCCTGAAATGGTCCTGCAGTCTTCTGAGAACCCCAGTAAGATAGGATCCTTGTCCCGTGTTTCTCATGTTGCCAATGAGGCAAATGCTCCTCTCTTCAGCCATTTCCACCGACCACCATTTCCTCTTCTCCTTCTCAAAACCATAGCCAGGAGGTCCCGTGTGCAGATGCATCAACAAGTAAGGGTGCTGGCCTCCACCCTGCTCCCCAAGGGCTCTAGAGGCTCGGCTCCAGCCCCTCTTGTTGGGACCCTTTGCAGACTGTGCTAGACCCTCGCCCAGGTTCCCTCCCGGCTCACTCTGCCTTCTCTCCAGCCCACATTCTCCCAAAAAGCTGCTTTCAAGTCCTTCTAGGATGGGCCCTCCCACGTGGGCAAAGGCCTCCGTCAGAATTCACTCTTTTCTGTTATGCTAATGTTGGCTTCCAAGCCTCCAGGGATCAGGATGGGAAAGAAGAGCTCCGAGAGCCGGAATGACAGCAGCTGGACCTGTGAGGGGGCGGGAGGGGGAAGGCAGCCTTGCCCCCATGGGGGCCGACTATACAAAGGATAACATCCCCTCCCCCCGTAGCACCCCCAACGTGCACCAGCAGAACGTGGATCGCGGCCCTTTGCATTTCCACCCAGACTGCGCCCCCATGGGGGCTGCTCTTTGTGGGCGCTGCCTCCCGCTCCCATCTCAGGAGCAGATGTAAGGCTTGGAGGGGTGCTTCTTGGGGGAGAAGGGGTTCTCAATTTAGACATAGGTGGCTGGGGCCGGAGAAAGAATGCGAAAAAGAGAAAAAGTTCGAGAGGAGAAGACATCAGGGTTGGAGGGGTGGGGAGGAGGGGCGGCAGGAAGAGGTGGGAAGGGGCGGGCCCCCTCCCCGGAGGAGCCCCAGGCACCCCCCCAGCCTCAGTCGCTGTCGCTCTTGTCCACCAGCACGGCGTCCGACTCCTCGGTGATCTCCAGCAGCGCGCGCACGTCGGGGCTGCTGCCGCGCAGCAGGTCGAGGGCCTCGCCCCGCTCGGCGCCGGGGCCCTCGTCGTCGCCGTCGCCCACCTCCACCATCTCGGTGGCCGGCAGCACCTCCACCTCGCCCCCGCGGATCTTCTTGACGTGGAAGGTGAAGGGCGGCACCTTGTACACGGCCGTCTTGGAGCGCGCGTAGACCACGTGGTCCGGGGTGAAGGACTTGCGCAGCTTCTCGCGAGACGTCTTGAGCTTCTCGCGGCGCTCGGCGGGCACCAGGCGCGTGCCCAGCTTGTTCATGCGCTTCTCCAGCGTGTGGCGCGTCTTCTCCAGGTTCTCCTTGGTCTTGAGGCGGGTCTTCTCCAGGTTCTCGCGGGTGCGCACCTTGGTCTTCTCCATCTTCTCCTTGGAGAAGGCCTTCTTGAAGTCGTCCACGCGCCGCATGCCGCTGCGCCGGATGCGCTCCGCGCGCGACTCCTCGATGACCTCCTCCACCTCCACCGCCTCGTCCGAGGACAGCTCGATGGCCGCGTCCTCCTCGGGCTGCTCGCCCAGCTCGTCGCCCTCCTTCTCCGGCAGGGTCTCCGCCTCCTTCAGCGACTTGCTGATGCTCAGCTTGGCCGGCAGCTTCACTTCGTCCTATGGAGGGAGAGCAGAGGGGGTGGGGAAGACATGAGTTGGGGGCTGAGCTTGGGGAGGGAGGGATGCTGAGTGAACCCGAGGCAGGAGGGGCGGTGATCCTGGAGAGTGTGTGGGACCCATGAAATCGACCTGGACTTGTGTGGTTTGGCATTGGATCCCCCAGAGCCTGGCACCCCATGAATGTGTCGAAGGAATGATAGGGCAAGGAGGGGGAAGAGCTCCGGGCCAGAGGTTGGCGTGTATTGTAATTGCTTTTCCGGTTAAAAATCTCTGCGGCCCTCCAACTCTGTCCTTGTACCTATGTCCAGCCTTCTTACCATAAACCGCTTCTTGCCGCGCGAACACAGCTGAACTTTGGAAATGGGCAGAGCGCCCTCTGGTGCACTACGTCGCACACTGCCCCCGAGCCAGGCCCAAAAGCAAAGGAGTTTGAGAACTGTTTCCTCAGGTTGAGGTTCAGGGAGGGGAAATGGACACACAGCCACTATCAGGCGACCACCAAGTAAGGTAGCTTGAAGGCAAGGTCAAGGGAGCGCGTTTTCCAGATTTCAAATAATTTCAGAACAAGTCTTAGGGGAGAAGGCCCATGTCCTAACCACCCCTCCACCACCACCCCTTTGACCTCCTCATACTGTTTGGCTCTACCAGTGCATTTTTTCCCCTCATGTAGAAATTCAGGGAAGAAAGAGGAAAAAGTTGGCTGGCGGCCAAGGGCATGTTTTCCCCCTGGGTATCTCTTCTGGTCTGACTTCTCTGCTTTGGAATGGAAGAAAGGGATTACTTTTCCATGATTGCTTTCCCCCACCCAAATTGGAGCTCAAGTAGGATGGTGGTCCCACATTCCCTGAGACCCAGAAGTTCAGAGCCAGTTATTCCCTTTTCCTCTCGGAAGACCTAGCATCACCTCTGTCTTCCATTCTGGAAAGATTTTTCCAAGATCCTGACTCTGGGCCAGCGTTTCAGAACCTCAGGATCACACCAGAAGGTGTGAGAGGCTGAGCGCAGAAAGGGAAAGGGGCCATAACTCAGGACATAAACAGCATCTCCTCTTGGGTGCAGACTCTCTAGAGACTTCAGACAAAGGAATGAGAGGCAGTTTTTCTAAAGGGTTTTCTGAAGATTGTTTCCCAGAATTGTAAGAAAATCCCAACTTAGGAAAATGAGGCAACATGAGCTGAGCCCTCTCAGAAACACACACATTGGCCACTTGGTATCTTTGCACCACCTGCTGCAGAAATTCCTTCCCCAGCTCTTAACCTCTTTCCTTTTCTCTCTCATCTGCATCCCCCGCTTCCTGGTTTACACTGAAAACGAGGAACACCCCTCCCAACTTCCTTCCCTCCCTGTCAATAGCATTAGCAGAGACAAAGGGAATGCTGGCTCCACCCCTTCTCCCCAAATTGGCACCAGCTCTTCTGGGCACCAAGCTACCTCAAGCTCTCATTACTTGACTACACCTCCCAGCAGGCAAGATGACCTGGGCACCGGGAATGCTGGGACTTGTAGTCTCTACTGGCCATAGCAGGCCTAGTACTTTTATGGGCATCTACGTTTTGTTCATCCCTCTGCCTTTTCCCACTTACAGAGGCATTGAAGAGGTGTTTCCCAGGTTCTGAGTATAGGAGGGACCCAACCTCTCAGCATTCCCTTAGTTCCAGTTGTAGTCCTTGGGTCTCCTTTACAATTAGTTCTGTCTACTACTGAGGCTTATCTCTTTCACACCATTCTAGGCCTCTCTAAGATCTAACTCTCCACTACCTCTTCATCTATCTCCACCCCAAATTTACCTGCACTCTTGTATAAAAATTTCAGTTCTGATCTCTCCTTTACAGCCTCCCAGAATAAAAACCCACATACTTGACACCAAAGGGTGAGGAGAAACACTCCTTTCAGTAAGCTCAGACAATGTGGATGGGCTCAGAAGGATTAAGGGTGATGGGCGGGGAATAGTCAGGAAACAGTCCCAGCTGCTGGAAAACAAATCCACATTGTCTCCCAGCATTCCTGATCTCCGCCACCCCCCAGCTTCATGCTACCCCCCCCTTGAAGGCTGAGCTGGCTGGTTTTCCTGGCCTCTGGCTTCCTAGATAAAGGTCTTTGCCAACTGAGCTTGGAAGTGAACAGGGCTGGAGAGAGAGCTGCAGACTTCTTGTAACAATCCCATCTTTCTAGTACCTGATAGAAGGGCTCAAATACAATGTCAGGGAGCAATCCCAGGGAGGGGAGGTTTACTTCTGGATTTGGGGGCAGGTACCTGGGAATATAAGCGTTCATTGTAGGTTTCCCCTAGAAGGATGGCTTACACTGGAGGAGCTGCCCTTCTTGGTAGAAGGCAGGACACAGGAGAAGAAACAACGTGACCCAAATTCCTGAACAACCAGCCGGTTGGTTCTGGAGCTTTTCCCCTCCATTAATGGATTTTCTCTTTTCTTCCCCTTTCCAAGCCAGGTTTCCTCTATGACTCATAGCCTTGGAGTGCTATCTTGGGCCCACCCAATCTGCCTGTTGCTACAACAACCA